TATTGGCAGACTGCTAGCCGGAACATGTTGTTAGATGTGCTTCCTATTGTTTTAAATGACGTGACCGTACTGGGAAAATCAAATGCAGCTGCTAAAAGTTCTCTGCTTCGCAAGTATTTGATCAAGTTAACTCAGAGGATAGGGCTTGTTTGTCTTCCTCATCGCTCACCGTCCTGGCGCTATGTGGTACTTACCTTTTAGTTTGTAGAATAGTATGCAAAGATCAACTTCCTCGTTATAGGTTTTTATATTTTCTACTCAATGTTGTATGTCCTAAATTGACATAATTTTTGGTAGTCATTCTCAATTAGTTATCCGAGACTTATTTCTTGAATTACCTGCAGGCTCGTACGGTCTCTCTTTCTGAGAATATGTCTACAAGTTCATCCCAAAGACTGGCGCCTAATCATACTGTGACTGCTGTCTCACAGCCAGAAAGTTTGGATGACCAAGAGGATGAAGATATGGATGTTCCAGAGATCTTAGAAGAGATTATTGAGATGCTACTCTCTGGTCTGAGGGACACGGTATGTTTAAAGGGTGAGATACTACTGTTAGGCTAGTACTTGAGGTAGTAATGTCTCAGCTTATATGATTAGATGCCCACACAATAATTTTGAGTATACATGCTACTTTCTACCAAGTTGTAGAATAGAGTAACCAGATAACACTTAAACAAATCTTGAATGTTATAAACATCTTACATGTCACTTAAATCTGTGATGAGCCTGAATTAGTATCTGATGTGAACTTTTTTAGACATGAAACTTTCAGCCGCCTACCAGTTAATCTCAGTTGTTACTAGTGTTTGTAAGCATTGTTCTTTTAAATTTTACTATTTTATGAACTGTGTAGGACACTGTGGTTCGTTGGTCTGCTGCAAAGGGTATAGGTCGTGTAACCTCACGACTAACATCTGTTCTATCTGAAGAGGTGTTGTCATCCGTATTGGAGCTTTTTTCACCAGGAGAGGTACTCCTATAGGACATGGCAGCATGGCTTTCATGTACTTAAATTCCAGTTACAAGAATGCATTATCTAGCTAATAGTTATTGTGATTTTCATGATATCCAGGGAGATGGTTCATGGCATGGGGGTTGTTTGGCCTTAGCTGAACTGGCTCGAAGAGGGTTATTGTTGCCTAGAAGTTTTCCACAAGTCATCCCAGTTATTGTGAAGGTTGTACTCCATCCCATGCACATGATTACTTATTTCTCTAACACATACGAAACAATGGCATCACACACCAAAATTATGCAGAAGTTCTATGCATTTTACATCTTAATATTATTTGCAGGCACTTCATTATGATGTACGCCGAGGTCCACACAGTGTTGGATCTCATGTCCGTGATGCAGCTGCCTATGTTTGTTGGGCATTTGGACGCGCCTATTCCCACAAAGATATGAAAGATGTGCTGGATCAGCTTGCTCCAGATTTATTGATAGTGGGTTCCTTTGATAGAGAGGTACTATTCCCTTTTTGACTATAATTTTGTCTTCATTGCTTACCTGATTTGAAGAATTGTGTTTTGTAAATCTCTTCATTGCCTAATTTATTGATGTCTTTTATCAGGTGAACTGTAGAAGGGCTGCTGCCGCTGCTTTCCAAGAGAATGTTGGAAGGCAAGGAAATTACCCTCATGGGATTGACATAGTAAACATAGCTGACTATTTTTCCCTTTCTTCTCGGGTGAACTCTTACCTTCAGGTTGCTGTTTCCATTGCTCAGTATGAAGGGTATCTGTATCCTTTTGTGGATGAATTGCTATACAACAAGATCTGCCACTGGGTATGATTAGCTTAGACACCATTTGATCTTGTTTTACCTCTGGCTATCTACAATTCTAATATCTCTTTCTTGCCCTGCTTCTATTTAATGTGGAACTGTATTCTCTTAAGTGGTCAACAACTAATTTCAGAATTCAACTACCCATAAACTAGAGTCAATAGCTTTACTAGGCACTGAATCAAAATATTGTTTTTAGTTGTAGCTTTCATAATATGTTTTTTGTTCATTCTTATGATATTAGGATAAAAGCTTAAGAGAACTTTCTGCAGAAGCTCTTGCTGCTCTTGTGAAGTACGAGCCTAAGCACTTCGCCAATTATGTGCTGGAGAAACTAGTTCCCTGTACCCTTTCAACTGATTTGTGCATGCGCCATGGTGCAACATTGGCAGCTGGAGAGGTTGTGTTAGCTCTACACCAGTGTGGCTATGTCCTTTCTGCTGGTTAGTACCATCTATTTTTCAGCTTTGCCTTCTGTGGCATCTTTACATATGCAAATACATACTTTTTAGTATGAAAACCCAAAAAATATGGGAACCATCTTGGAATCTAGACCCTATCACTATAGATGTACTCAAGACATTTTTAGTTAATTGTCAGATGAAAATTTAACAGTTGATGGTTGACATCGTTATCCCTTATAACATAGGCTGCTGCAATCAATTTTACAGATAGCCAAAAACGTATGGCTGGGATTGTCCCATGCATTGAGAAAGCACGCCTTTACCGTGGAAAAGGTGGAGAAATAATGCGACTGGCCGTCTCACGGTTTATTGAATGTATCTCATTATCGCATGTGACATTGGCTGAGAGAACAGAACGGATCTTGCTTGATACTCTCTCTGAGAATTTAAGACATCCCAATTCTCAAATACAGGTACCTATCTTTCTAAATGTCATAAAGTTTTTAATTTCATCCTGTGAGCATAATTCATTAGTTGACAAGTTTCACTTACTTACATGCAGAGTGTAGCTGTAAGTGCTGTTAAACAGCTTGTGCAATCCTATATCGTTGGCAATGATAAGAAATCTGTTGATTTAATATCAAAACACCTAAAACATCTAACAGACCCAAATGTAGCTGTCCGAAGAGGCTCTGCACTTACACTGGGTGTCTTGCCATATGAACTATTGACTGCAAAAGGGAAGGATGTAGTTCTGAAGCTCTGCAGTGCGTGTATGATAGAGGTAAGGAAGACTACATATGGCTTCATGCCAGAATGATATAATCGACGCTGAAAAACAGTATGAAATAATTAACTTTGTTGGATGTTTTTTCTATCAAGCAGGTGAACTCTGAAGACAGAGATGCAGAGGCACGTGTGAATGCTGTTAAGGGACTCACATCAGTGTGTGAGACTCTTACTCAGAAAAGGGATAGTGATCCTGAGAATGATGATGTGTCTCTTTTTCTTCTTATCAAGACTGAAGTGATGGATACTTTACTGAAAGCTCTTGATGACTATTCAGTTGATAACCGAGGTGATGTAGGTTCTTGGGTTCGTGAAGCTGCAGTCCATGGCCTTGAGAAGTGTACATATATCCTCTGTAAGAAAATCAAAGCAAATTCAGCGGGTGATCATAACAATGATACGTCCTCACTTTTCGATTCAAATCTTGTGACCCGTCTAATTGGAGGTATTGTGAAGCAAGGAGTGGAGAAAATGGATAAGTTAAGAGAAACATCTGCAAAGGTTCTTCAAAGGATTTTATATCACAAAACTGTTTCCGTCCCTTTCATTCCTCATAGAGAAAAATTGGAAGAAATTCTTCCCAACAAAGCTGGCTTACAGTGGGCGGTAAGCACACTTGGTTGCTACGTCGTTTATTGTGATGGATTTTTGCATCTGGTTATGAGTTATTATCTTCTTCTGTGTAGGTTCCGGCTTTCTCTTTCCCACGGTTTGTGCAGCTATTAAAGTTCCGTTGTTACAGCAAAGAGGTGATGTCTGGATTAGTAATTTCGATTGGAGGATTACAAGATTCACTTAGTAAAGCTTCGCTCTTTGCATTACTGGAGTATATGAGGGAAGGTGAAGCTAAAGACCTTAAAGAACAACAGTCCAGAGAGTCAGCATTGTGTGACGACATTCTCTGGATACTTGAGGAATACAAGAAACGTGACAGAGTTATGGTACCATGTCTAAAGGTAAACACACAGTATAGTAGATTAAACTCTAGCTTCTTTGTGGTGATGATGTCTTAATCTTTCTCTTTTACACAGACAATTGAGATCCTCTTCAGAAGCAAGATCTTCCTGAATCAAGAGGTTGGTTTAAGATTTACCTCTTTGGATAAAAATTGCCAAAGGTATAAATTGATTCTGAACACATTCCATACAAAGCTAATCTGTCATTTTATTTCAGACTTATACGTTGAGTTTCTACGCTGCTGCTGTGGATTCTCTAGCCATCGAACTAAGAGCTTCGAAGGACTTCACAAAGTTAAAAGCAGGCCTTGCAATACTTGGATATATAGCTTCGGTCTCAGATCCCATTAGCACAAAAGCCTTCTCTCAGCTTCTAGCATTCCTTGGCCACCGATACCCAAAGGTTCTTGTCACTTCAATCTAAAGACATATTCTATCCACATCTTAGAGATATTTTATGGTTACTCGATACAGTATTTTGTATTCACATGATCCAGATCCGAGAGGTGGCAGCTGAACAAGTCTATCTTGCGCTCCTTCAAAACGGAATCTTAGTGGCAGAGGAGAAGATGGAGAAAGTGATAGAGATCATTTCAGAGTCTTGTTGGGAAGCAGACATGGAATCAACTAAGACTCAGAGGTTAGAATTGTGCGAATTGGCTGGTTTAGACTATGAAGTAGTGTTCAAGACAAGAAACAGATTGGCGACTAGGGGTATAGTCGGGAATGAAACGACTGCGTCTGACGAGAACGCGTCTTACTCTTCCTTGGTCGATTCCTCTGGCTTTTGATTTTAGGCTTTGTCCTTGTTTCAGTTTTGTCTCTCTTGTTTTTAGCACCGTTTTGATTTTCTTCTGTTAGTATTTTCGTCCATGATCAAAATAACATGATTAAAATATTATTTTCTTTGATCTACGGACAAGCCAGCTACTAAAAGAGAGAAAAAAAAAAAAAACCCTAATGACTTACCGACCCAATATAATATGAAACTAGACTGACCAAAACCTATAAAACTAGACTTGATAGTTTATAAAACATAAATTTATTGACGCGTAAGGAAGAAGAAAAGACCAAACAAGTGAGCTCTGTTTAAAAAGTTTCAGTTATTTCCTCTTTTCCCTTGCGTATGTACCAAACTTCACTAAAACTTGCATATCAATTTTACGTTGCAGCCACCCAAGACGAGCCGTCGAAGCCAGAAATCAATGGCGGCAGATAATGAAATTACGGACGCAGCAGAGGTATTTCAATATATATATATATATATCCATTCAATAGGCTATGTATCTTGCAGATTGTGACAATGGAGATTTTGATTTGCAGCAATACTTTGAGAACAGATTGATGTATCTTGCAGCAGAGAAAGAAAAGGGAGAGAATCCATACCCACACAAGTTCTTAGTGTCCATGTCAATCTCGGAATACATTGAAAAGTATATTACCTTAAGCAAAGGAGACCTTGTTGAAGACGACCAAGTTTCTTTAGCCGGTATGATACACCCCACCACCAGTGAAGTTTGTTAACTTTTGCAATGAAAAGAGTATATTTATTCAACGTTTTTTTGTTTTTCTTTTCTAAAAGGGTTTTGTTCTATGATCTACATATATAGTCTTGTTCTAAGGTCCAAGTGACGGCTGATTCTAGGTGACTAATTTTGGTTTTACTTATTCTCTTTAGAGTTGTTCCTTTTTTGTTTCTTTATCTCTAGGAAAGCAGTTCAGAAATGAGGGTATTGACTTGACACACAATCCAGAGTTCACCACCTGCGAGTTCTATATGGCTTTCCCAGACTACAATGACTTGATGGAGATGTCTGAGAAGTTGCTCAGTGGTATGGCAAATATCTCTGCTTCTTGCACTGAGTGCTATGTTTACGTTTTGAATCAAGCCTACTAAACATTTTCTTCATGTTGCAGGTATGGTGAAGGAATTAACAGGCGGCTATAAATTGAAATACCACGCTAATGGGTACGATAAGGAGCCAATTGAAATCGACTTCACTCCTCCATTCAGGTTCGTGAAATATTTTGATGGATCATTCGTGGGATCAGGACATAGCCTTCTTGAGACAAATTTTTGGGAATGATTTCACCTTGGTTATTTCTGAAGGAGGTTCGACATGATGGTAGAGTTAGAGAAGGTGACCAACCTTACTATACCAAAAGATTTGGCTAGCGAGGAAGCTAACAAGTATCTGATTGATACATGTGAGAGGTTTGATGTCAGTTGCTCACCTCATCAGACGACAGCTCGTTTGTTGGATAAGGTAATGATATGATATCCCCTAATAATAGTATGCAACATAACGATCATATCGTTATGTTGCATACTATTATTAGGGGATATCATTATGTTATGCATACTTTGAGGATTTTTTAGAAGTTTGTATATGATCGTTATGTTGCATACTATTATTAGGGGATATCATTATGTTATGCATACTTTGAGGATTTTTTAGAAGTTTGTAAATTTATAGCAAAACATCATCATAAATGTATATGATGTTTCCCTACTCATTTATAGTGATGTGATTTTACTTCTCGTTATAACATAATTACACGTTTTTCGGTAAGACACCTGTACCAAAGATTTTTAACATGATTAAAGGAAAAGAAAAGAAAAAAGAAAGGTAAGCATGTAGAAGAACAATATTTTGAAAACATAAAATGGTAAATATTCTTAAATATATATGTAGCCATGTAGGCTTTGATATATAATAGTGTTGATGTAACATTCAAGAGTCAAAAGTGACTCAAACCCCGGCTGAAAACGGCACACCGGTGATAGGGATCCAAGAATCTCCTTGAATAAATCGGCTGACGGAGAACGGAGAAGCCTCCCCCTCGTCGCGAAGGACGTGAAATCCCGGCCAGTTGACCCTTCTGCTTGTCCCCGCTCCAGTTCCGGTGTTCATAAACTCGCCATAATACAATGTTGACAGAGCATAACCGCCGCTCCATTCTCTCCATCCTCTCGGGTCAATCAACCCGTCAAGATCCGTCTTAAGAAACACTGTCCGAGAGTACTTCTTCCACGGCCGCCCCAAGTAGTTCTTGAACTGACCTTTAACCGCCTCAAATTCTGGTGCGGCCCTGACCCGCGAGTGTTGGATCGAAATGCCTGTTACACCATTTCATTAGTCAACAAATGGTCAAACATAAGATTACCTGTATAATTTGTGTAAAGAGATTTGTTACCTGTATTTGCATGTGGGTCGTCTCTTCCTTGAGCTGTGATCATATTGCCTTGGTGATCCATAGGCCGTCTCACAAATATATCACAGTTCTGAAAAACAGCAGCCGCATCTCCAAATATGAAATCAATCGTACCTATCCAAAGATTTCCGAACAAAATTCTTAATCCGTCGTACGTTAGTTTCTATATGAATGTATTATATATATATAGATGCATGGTCGTATACCATAAATATGACAATCGCGGTAGAATTGACGTAGTGAATGTGTGAAAAGAGTATCCTGATATCCTTTGAAACTACACCGATAGAATAAAGACAAATCCGAGCTCACTCTCAACGCCACAGCTTGATGTTTATGCGGTCCTGCAGTGTTCTCGAACGTCATGTCCCGTGCCCAAAATCCATCCCCCGACACCCCTAGATTATGAGTAACTAGTAAATATCCAACATATGCATTATTATATATGTGAAGATTAGAATCATATTTGTATATTTTTTTACCAAATGTTGCTGATCCATACGTCGTGGAACCATCCGGGACGTTTCGGTTATTGGTGACGATTGTACGGTCCATACCATCACCAACTAACATGATGTTTTTCATGTGTCTATCTATGTCGATCTTTTCGTTATAAACACCAGCTTTTATGTAGATTATCACTCTGTTCGACCGACTTTTACCCATTCCTGAAATGGCTGCTAATGCTTGGTTTATTGTTCGATGAGTAGCAGAACCGTCCTGAGCCACCACGAAATCCGCCCTTGACCTTGTTGGATTCCATGACACTAACATTCCGCCGCTTTGGTTTGGTCTCGATGGTCCATGGCTTTGTCTTTCTGGTCCATGGTTGGGTCTCGTTGGTCCATGTTTTGGTCTCCTTGGTCCATGTTTTTGTCCTTCAGGTCTATGGTTCGGTCTCGCCGGTCCATGCAGCCCTACAAAATGTAAATAGAGAGCCATAATTAATAAACCATGATATCTCAAACAAAAATATATATTCGGATTCTACAATCGTTATTTAGTGATAAAATATAATGCGTCTAGGAGAGATCGATCATTACCCAATTTTGACAAAACAAATGATACATGAAAGTTTGTGTATACGTTCTTACTCTTTTTTATATGACCTCTAGACTTTTTGTAGAAAGCTAAAGCTTCTCGGAGCACCAACGTGACGTTACTATGGACCAAAGGCTTATGACCTTGACGTTCCTGAGCCAAACCGTCCAAACAAGTGTGATGGTTCGCAAGCACACCGCTTAGCCACGTTCTAACATCTTCAACAGTAAAATTCTCATGAGCCACGACCAGTTTCGATAGCCTAGCTTCACCCTCACCATAGAGCTTTTCACATTCACTCAACACCAAATTATGATAACGACTAGTAGCAACTTCACTCGTTGCCTCCACCACAGCGATCGACCCAAAACTAGTCCTGGCTTCAACCACTGCAGTTTGAGCCATCTTCAGTACATCCAACTCGGCTGTGTTCGAGGTGGTTACGAGGACTGCAAATGCTAGAAAGAACATGATGGTGATTAATTTGGTGACTTTTACAAACGTGTACATTTTTAGTAGATAAAGTTGTTGTGTTTTAGTTATGTTCTTGGAATGCGCTTAAATATATGATTGTTGTTGTTGTGTATTTTAAATAGCAAACGAGGAATGGAAGTTATCGTAGAACGTAGATGAAGATGGTGGCGAGGAATCTAACACATGGTGAGAGAGATACGGCACGTGTGAGACTATGTGTAAGCTTTTGTTTCTATGATTGTTGATGGCCCATGCATATGAGACTAATTTCATTAATTACGTTATACATTTCAGGTTCTAAATCAATGTGACGCAATCAAAGTGAGTTAAGTGTGACTATACGTGTGTTGTATGTGTCGAGAAAAGTATTTTTTTAAAAAGAGTTTTTTTATAAAAAAAAATGTTAAATTTTTCAGAGCTAAAAGATAACTAACCTGAGTTTTTATATACAGATACGATATACAGACATACAGTATAAAGTTTTCTGAGTGAAATCATGATTTCAATGTTACAAATTCACAATTGATCAATATGTACAGAAAAAAACAGAAAAATTGGGATAAAAATTAACATTTGACCAACAAATTTTTTTTTTCAACTGATAGATAGCTTCTCGAATCTCGGCCACCATATAAAAAGATAATTGGATTTTTTTTTATATTAAAAAAAAGGTTTGATATAATGATGATCCGGATAATTTGATTTCATGCTACACGGCTTAAGATGCTTAACCCTTAATTTTAAAGGCCCAATAGAACATGTGGTGTGATCCATGAGAACCGGATAGACCCGGATCGTTTTAACTATTAAGTTATTAACACTAATCAAAGGGTTGAGAATAAAGTATGAACCTCTCTTATTCTTAAGTCCTTTAAAAAAATCCGGCAGAACCTTTAAAGCCTACAAAGATACTCAAATCGAGTCACGTTGTCCGAAATAATAGTTAATGATATGCTAATGTTATAGTAGATTTTACGATCCCCAAGTATTGAGTATCGAATAATTGCGCCTGCTAAGGAAAGCGAGTATAAGCCTATGCTAGAGAACTAAGGGCATCCTCATTGGAGTGTCCTTAGGGGTAAGATTTATCAAATACAATATCTTATATAGTATACTCTCTTTGATAAATCTTATCTCTAATGACCCTCCAATGAGTATGGTATAACTAATGGAATAAAGTTATCAATTATCATTTTTTTAAGGCAGACAATACGGGTCACAGTCACACTATTCATATATTTAATTCTTCCACGAAGCTAAACCACGTATTATATAAGTCACTAATAGTTTTCCTTTTCATAAACCAAAAATCCAAAAACAAAAATCAGCAATGAATTAATGTGTTGTTGTTCCTACAACAAAATAAAAGGAAAAATAACACAATCGCTTATCCCAAATCATGTCTTCTTTATATCAATCTGCAAAACAAAATAGTCAAAAAATGAGATTATAAGAATTTTTGTAAATGGATAAGGACTAGATTAGGCATATGAGTAAAAGGATATAAACTTACGCATGGAGCTTCTGCAGAGGGAGAGGAGAATGACGAGAATTGTGAATCCAGCAATAACTCCTACAATGATCGCTATTGTTTTCCCGGCGTCATCTCCATGCGTTGGATCTTTCATAATTAAGAAAGTAAAGTTGGATTACAATTTAGAAACATTTCTCAAGTATGTGACAAAGTACATCAATAAGATGAGATAAGACCCATAGTATCAAGCTAAGAATTAGATTTTTTTCCTCTCAAAGATGCAGTGACTTTTGGACTTTGTGATATTGATCAAAGCTATAAAGAATATATAAAATAAAGTTGCTAATGGGGACATGGGTGGCTATGCCTATAAAGAAACGAATAATATATTGTATATTGCAATACAAACATTCTTTTCTAACCAATGATATTATAATCATGATACTCGAATTTTCCAAAGAATAATTCAAAAGATTAATTTTATTTTATGCAATACTTAATGGTGTCTTTGCAGTGGAAGTGGAAGAAACCAAAAATTATGATTTCTTCAGCTTTCTCGTGCTACCAAGAAGCGACTAGACTCGTGAATTTTCTCAATTATTATTTATAAGCGGCGGAAAATTAATTATATTATTATGGCACTATAATGAAGATAATTAACGAACATAAACGTTACGTAATTAGAGCGATAGTTAATAAATGAAATGAAAATTTAGATTAATGGACGGACCTGAAGAGAAGTCATAGTAACCAGAACCCCAATAACGAGCATAGCATTGAGCTAAGTAAACCTCAGCTGCAACCGCCGAGCCACAGAGATTCTTTAATTTTCCGACAGACTCTGCAAGACAAGCCGAACAGTCACTAGGACTCAAGTCACCAACACACTGAGCATAACCCTCGACTAAACCCGACCGGCTAACTTTGTAACCGAGTCGAGTCGACTCAAGATCGGACAACACATCGTCTCTCCGTTTAAAGAAGTCGTAGTCGTTCTCAACGCTCTTGGGGCTACACTTCTTGTACCTAAGACTCGTGTCTGGTTTCCCAAGAAAATCGTTGGTCTCGTAACGTAAAAAGCAGCCTTCGAGCTGGAGAGAAGCACCGAAAGAGTAAGGACAAATGAGAGTGATTTGATCGACCGAGGTTTGGATGCATTTTAAGCAGTCTGATGATCGGAGATCGTCACGGCATTGATAGAGGCCGAAGACGGCGGAAGAGGAGGAGGAGGAGGACTCGTTTCCAACGGCAAAGCTGTTGAAGGAGGCGTCGGAGGAGGAAGTGACGACAGAGGAGAGGAAAGTATCACGGTTTGATTCAAAAGGTGTGTTTGGTGTGTATTTTTCCGGTGAACATCCGCCGTAGATGAAGATGTGAGATTCTGATGAAGACCTTGAGGATGATGATGATGAGTAGAAGAAGAGGAAGAAAAAGAGAAGAGAGGAGAGAAAGGGTCTTCTCATATTTTTGTTCTTTTGAGTTCTTTGTGTTTTTTTTTTGAAAATGAGCTTTTGTTTCTTGATTTTATCTTATTCATAGTGTTTTATTTTAAATATAATAATCAAGAATGATTAGGTTCATCGCTATGGGGACCGAGTTGTGCACTTGTTTCTTAAAATCGTTTATATAACTCATATACGCATTCTAATATATTTGATGCATACTCTAGTTATAAAGTATGTGGATATATATGCAAGATGAATGCAAAACTAATAGATTTGGTTTAGTAACGAATCAATACCAAAGTGTCGACAAATTGGATGATAACATTTGGTATATTATTTCTTTGTTAAGAGTGATAAAATGATTTAGACAGATTAAAGAAGATTTGGTTTTGGGGGTATAATAATTTCTTGAGACTTCTTTTGTGCAAAGAGGGTCCCAATTTAGTCATGGTCCTTTTGATTAGTATATGTTCGCTGGATCGATTCCATCACACATATAATATTCTCCTCAAGTTAGTGGAGAATTTTCAAGTGATAGGTTAACAACAAGTTTCTTTAAATCCTGACCACGACCAAAAGAGCTTAGCTTGATCATCATAGATTCAGTTTATCTACAATACAATTAGAAATACTACTAAACAGGAATCTTAAAATAGAAGAAGAAAAGCTTGAAATATATAACCTAGGGAAAGTTTCGATGCTACTCCGCCTATCTTCACCTCGACAAAAGGGCAATTTCGAAACGTGAGAATTTTCTCAAGGACACTGCTAGACTCGTCTTCTTCTTCTTCATCATCTAACCATAGAGTGAGTTTCTTGAGAGCTTTTGCATTCTCTAGGATGTATCTAGCAAACTCTGTTTCAGCTTTTCGGCTTCTCTCTTGGAAAGCCTGGGGCCTCAGTTTTATTTTGACGTTTTCAATGGATGTTTGGAGACATTGTGGCACAGGCGAGCTTGCGATTTCATCCATCTTTGGATAGCCATGAAGCTCCTACAAAGGAAAACACCATAAGAATGTATACTATATATAGTGATAACTACTCTCATTACTTTACTAAAGAGAAGGAATCATTACCAAGTCAATAGATTTTAGGTTGGGACAGCTGGAGAGATATATAGGCAACATCTCTGAAAAGTCGGAACAGAAAAAAGCGTACAAACGGGTCAAATTCTTGAGTTCAGGCAGTTGTTGCAGTTTAGAGTAAGCATAGGTTCCCTGTCAAGAACCAAACGCTTGGTAAGAACAAAGAAACAAGAATAAATCAAGATATATTGCGTTTGAAGTACATACATCTAGAGTATGGCCAGATATGCTAAGGTCTGTGACCTCCGAGAACCCTGCAAAGACCTTGTGCCAAGTTTGCGTCTTTGAAAAGTCATCTTCCCCATCAAAGCAAGCATCGATACACATCTTGATGGAAGAACTAATAGTCTCCACTCTGAAGTATTCGAGTGGATAACGTCTGATACGCAGAAACTCTAAGCTAGGAGTGTCAATCACAACTCCAGATTCTCCAACATCATCCGAGGAATCATTTTCTCCCTTAAAGATAAAAACACCTACTAGACTCAAGCTCCTTAAAGTCTGAGATCGTAATTTCAAAAGTTCCACTCCAACATCATGAATGCTCAAGACTTGGAGAACTGGAGAGCAAGAGATAAGCATCTCTAGAACCGCATCACTCGGAACCAAAACAAAACCTATATGCATAACCTCAAGGTGAGGTAGATTGAAAGACTCACAACCATCAAAGTCATGCAGCAATACATATTCCAACTTCAAGTTTACAAGTGTCTCACACGTATATAAGCTTACAGGCAGCTCAATAACACCCAAACCCGCAAGATTATACATAAAACCGTTAATCCAAAAATGTTGAACTCCGCGGGTCAACACTTTTTCGAACAACAACTTCAAACAGGGTATAACAGCATCAGTACACCTCAATGTAAACTTGTATATGGGAGCTTCCTTATGCAAATTTAGGAATCTGTCGAGAAAATCCTTGACGTCACCAGTTAGGTACAGTCCAGGAACACTTTGCCAGAGATTTCTCCATCTGGTGGATAAGACACTAGTCCTAACAGACTCAATGGTGGAAAGATTCAAGAGTATCTCTCGCAGCAACTCATTGGGTAGTTGGCTTATCAAATCTTCCATTTGCCCCTGAATTGATTAAGCTGAACAAAGAAACAAAGCTAGTAAATTCTAAGTATAGAGACATAAAAGAGCAATCCAAACATGCATGCCTGTGTCAGACTTAATTATACAAACAATTGAAGTTTACCACGAAACTATTCAAAACTGTGTTCTGCAACATATAAATCATATCAATTTCTAGACCAGTTATAATCAGAAGATGAAGAGAATCGCATTCATAGTATGCAAATCAAATTGAGATAAAGTATATTACGAAACCAACGTACGAGAGCACTACGAGTCAGAGATTGCCAAATAAAAACCTAAAAACTGAGACTAATTTATGGGAAGAATAGCTTTGGTTTATATACATCAGAAGACGCTGGCTTAGAGAGAGTCTCTCAATTAGTCTTAATCTATGACGTTTGTTAAAGACTCTAATATAAAGAGAGTCTCTCTACTAAAGACTCTATCTAAAATACATCATAAACCTTAGCACTCGTTTGATATTTAAAATTTAAATCCATATCATACACAGTTTTGGTAGATTCTACTAGATGTTTTATATCTGATGCATATGCATAGTTCAAAGTAAGTTAAAAAAAAAAAAGGGGTCCAATGTTCATTTCAAAATATTCTAAACAAGAAGGTAAAGACCAACAACATAGTGGCAAGTAGGATTCCCAACCACAGTAGTCGATGTAATACTCTGAGAACTCAAGTCTTTTTGCATCTTGACCTCATGCATCACTGGTAAATTTCATCGTCCCTGCCATGTTTTCTCTCCAATCCGGAGAAACAACCGTGATCCCAAACGCACTTTTGTAATCTCCGGCACATGATCAGTATTTACAGAATTACATTCGAAATAAAATAGGTATATATATTTTTGGAATAATTGGAGAAATAGACAGTTTTTGAAACATAATTGTAGAAATAGTACAATTACTATTTACAATTAGCAAAATCCACATTTTTACTATGCTATTTTATTTCTTTGCCTTGTCAATCCTCACCAAAACATCTTATTTACAACAATGCCATTAATATATAATTAAATTATATTTTTCTTTCCTCTCAGATTTTTAATTAATATTTATTTTTTTCTCTTTTTTATTTTTAATTACATTCTCCCTTCAATCTAAAAACTAAAATACTAGTCAATGAAATTTTTTTTTTTACAAGTTTCAAATATATAAAAATCTATGTTTTTTTCTCTATTATATGATATGCATTTTGTTTGAAGATTTTATTTGATAATAACAAATAATTTTCATTAATTTTAGATATGTACAATTTACTAAGTGTACAGATCTAATCCGTACAACTTAAAACGTGTACATATGTACATCTGTACAACTTAATAAGTGTACAAATATTAGTATACAAGTCGTAAACGATTGTACACGTATTTGTACAATAGGATATATGTACAAATACAATTGTACAAATCAAACTGTATATTTATTATATGTACAGAAAAATGTATGTATAAAAACTATATACAATGATATATGTATAGATATAATTGTATGTATATTGACTATTATATTGTATTATACATGTATTTGTACAATATGATATATATGTACAATTGTATTTGTACATATCAAACTGTACACATATTATATGTACAAATGAATTGTACGGATGCCTTTTGTACATCTACCATTTTGTAATTTACCACCACTACACTATACCCCACTTTCTCATCTATCTCACACATTATCTATCTCACATAGTGGACCCATTGTCTATTTATCCAATTTTGAATAGTAAATGTACTATATCACAAATTAAGTTTTGAAAATGTACTATAATGCTAATTTTCCCTATATTTTTTTATATACTGATGTGCCGGAGTATAAGCTTTTTTTTTAAATTAGGGGTATAAGCTTTTTTTTTAAAGCTCAAAAGGAAAACTGGCAAATGTATTAACTCTAAATCCTATACAATTATGGTATTATCATTTTCTTATCACTGTATGTTGTGTTTAATCATCCAACTTTCCGTTATGTCAATTACAACTAAAAGCATTTGAGTTAAACTATATGTTTAAGGAAGATAAAACCTATTGGGCTGTTGAGCTGTGAATGAGTTTAAAAGCCCATGTTTTGATGGTTTTGTTTATATAAGTTATGAAAGTCAAAAATGGGATTTAGTTAAAATCGGTCGTAGGTCTAACCTTGTGTTCTCAAGTTGGTATATGCCTTTGGAGATGATCAATGATTGATGGTTACATCCACTACTTATCCCTTATTCGTTTCAACTCGATAGAAATTGGACCAATCTATATATGAACCAACTTGAACACACATAACTCACAAAATAAAAGCAATATTAGGAATACTGAAATGTATCAAATCACTTTTGCAGAAATAAATTTCTGTGAAATATATTATTGTAAAATTGTTCACTTTTAACAAGTAAAACTGGTCCATCTCTTCTTGATCTAACGAGACAAGTACGAATTTTCATACAAAAACACGTGACGAATAATCGTTTTTTTGTTCCATGCTAGTATAAAATACATGTCGTACCAAACTAAACTATATTTTATGTGTCTATGTTATTAGACTACCCTTATAATTTGCATAGATTAACTGTGTTTTCTAATCATTATTCAGATAGATTGGACAAAATTAAATTACAAATCATATTGTAAAGAAAACCAATGTTAACGTTATAGGCTTTTAGCTTTATAGCCACGCGTGACTATCTTAGTTGAGCGAACTCCATATTTAGTTGTTATTTGCTAATTAAATAAACTAATAACATATGAATGTGCTTTTTTCTACGTATATTTATCTTTTTAGCTTTGCCATGAAAATAATTGATTCTTTTTGTGGATTCTCCACTAAAAAGTCATCACTAAATTTTTGAGATATCGAAAGGGACTCTAATGGCGACGAATACTTCAATGGCTAGAATATCTCCTTTTGGCAGTATTTTATTTTCCCCATTAATCTATTCCAACCATGTCTTCACCAATTCAACACTTACACGAAACCAGATTAAACAATACAATAGTAATTACTAAACCTAATTATAGATTCAGATTAGAAAAAATAGATACATAACCATTTTTCTCATTAAAGTGTTTCGTAAGCAAATCAAATTTGGAAGGCTATCATTTTTTGCATGTATAAATTAGTACTCTCATGCACTTCTGCAATAATTTGATAAGTTTCCCAAATATATGTAATGTAGAATTAGTGGGGTTAACAATGATGAATTATTGTGATTGATAACAAATCTTGTGTAGGTCCACAGATGAATAGAATCGTGTTAAACTTTTCGTTGGGTTTTATCATTATCATAATTCACCTTTAAATCACTATCCTAATCAGAAATTCTTAATCATAATCATAACAAAAGCAATCAATCAAAAGAAAAATAAACCTCGAAATTATTTACATTATCGCCTAAATTTCAAACTTAAGATAAAAAAATCTCACTTTCGCATATACATACATATCTAACAAAAGGGTAAAAAAAACGTGACAAAAGTGAAAAAGGTCACAAAGGTAGAAAATAGTAAAAAGAGTTTAAAAAAAGCATTTTCATCATCATCTTTTTCCACCGTCGTTATTGCCGGCGACGGCTCCATGGAAGTTTACTGAAACCCGACCCGGATTCAATTCGGGTCTGGACCCGTTTGAAATCAGAATAAGGACAAGGGATAGTGATTCCACCTTCTTGGCAAAACCCAAATTCTTCTTCAGCCTCTCTGAGAAGCTCACCGAACAGAGGATGGTTGAAGTAAACGATAGGCACCAAAACCCTCTGAAAGTCGCCGTCTTTTTTACCGACGTAAACCGCCGAGTGACCTTTCGGAACCGGGTCGGGTTTTTCTCGGATGGGCTCCTGACCAATAGGTACGTACCCCAAGGTTGAGCATTTAGAGCCAAGAAATCTGGCGCTGTGGGACGTGAGACTTCGACCCCAGCTTATGAGTTTTGTGATGGCTCTCGGCTTACAAACCGGTCGGTTCGGGCTTAACCGGGTGTATCTCGAACGACGGATCCGAATTCTCCGGAGGATCCATCTTGAGATTCCTTGAATAGGTCTCCTTATCTTGATTCCTCTTAACCTCCTCATCGTTGACAAAACAAAGGAACAGGGCTAATTTTTAGACAAGAAAATATTGAGAAATATTATGGCAGCAACCAAATTAAAACAAAACGACCCTTTAGTACTCTGTTTTCCTCTGTTTCAGAGCAAAGAAACAAAACTTTAGGAGTTTCAAAGCTCTGTTTTTTTGTTTTTTTGAATTGGTTTGATTGATTAACCGGCGAAGATTTGAGAACGAGAAGAGAAAAATGAAGTTTTGAGGATTTTGTGGCTGTGTAAACGCTAAAGAGGAAGAGCAGAGTAAGAAGACAGAGGAGCTTAAATAGAGAAGAAGCCAAGAGAGACTGAGTCAGCTCAATGGACGGTTGGATGAGAACAAAGCATCTCAACCGTTTGATTAGATTTTACAAAGGAAAAAAAAAGAAACTCCCCCCTCCCTTTTGCTTTTCTCTCCAAGAGAATTCTTTATTAAACTCCACTCATCTAATTAAGGGCAAACGACTCATACTTTAGGCATTAATTAACCCACAAGCAATTTTCAATTTCTTTTTGGTGATGTTTACTTGTGAATTAAAATCTTATAACTGATATATAATCTTATAACGTAACAAATTTTGGTTTAAGTAGAGAGATGCAGAGAAGAGGATGAGTCACCCGAAGGTTCAACTTTTGTTTGATAATAGTAGCAATTATGATGCAAGCACACGTGTGATACCCACGTGGCAAACATTTTCTGCCCTGATTCGGTAACACACATTACATTACAGCACTCCACACGATATTAAAAACATCTTCTCAAATAGTAATATTTTTGTTTTTCTATAAATTTTAGTTTTGTTGTCATTTGATCAAAATTAAGAAGCTTGCACGTTATGTTAGCGCAATAAGTTTTTTCTAAAGAAAATAAGATTGTGTACGGTATGTCCCTTTAGATGCCTAGCTTCCCCTATATAGATTTATTCATATGCAGACAAGACAAGAAACGCACACAGTAACAACTGAAAGACAGATCTGAGTTTGAGTTTGAGTTTGAGTTTGTGCTCTAAATTTGATGATTTTCTTAATGACCAAGTTGTGTTAATCTGACGAGACAAAAATGTTTTGGGAGTATTCATATATATATATATATATATATTTTGTTGTTGTCTTCATACTAGAAGACGATTATAGTTAGTCTAATAGATATATGAGCTTGATCCAGTAGTTATTCGTCTGTGTAACGATAAGATGATGCCAAAGTTATTTTTATACTAGTATAATTTGTAGTTTTCCTAATCAAGATTCAAGTACTATCTGTTTGCTTTGTTTTTAATATTTCGGAAAAACAAAAAATTGGCATATTGAGAGATGAATATACATACATACAACGTAGAGAAATTCCAACGAAAATGGAAATGATGCGTAAGAAATAAAATACGGCATAGAATAATATATGGTTTGCGTGGGAGAATACGATTTGTTTCTTTCCCATTGTGAAAATGATACTTTCATAAAATAATCAAACTAGTATTCATCGCTTCATGACTCCGTACAAGTCCATTACGTACACGAACGTGTCACTCGCAGCCTTTTAAAATATGTGGGTCTCATTTGACTCACGTATATTATTTAAAATGTGTAGTCTAATGGTTTATTTAAATGTTTTCATGGTATTGCTAATAGAATTTCAATTCGCAAAAATATATTTGTAACCAAGAAAAAATATTCAAATGATAGTTAATTACTTTAAAGTTATCAAAATTGAGATAACAATAGCAAACTAATCACAATACTTTAATGATCAAAAGATATCAGTTAAATTAAGAATACATTAAAAATATATTTCTATCTTTCGAGGAGTGTGCCTAGAGTCACATTAGTGTTATTTGTTTTTCTCATAAACTAAGCGGCAAACTATTTTTATATATAATGGGATAATTATCTCAATGCACAATATTGTCAACTATATATGCATTTCCTCGAAGTCTCGAACGGCGAACAGTGCCATGAGCGATGACTTTCGTCTTTCGAATAAATGGCTTTGAGTTTCGACCTTTCATATGTAAGACCAAAATTTTGTATTTTTCCTTCATAAGGAAGAACTCAACGTCGAGAGGAAAGACAGATCCACTCCCAGAAAAAAGTCACGCATACATAACGTTTTATTACTTCATGTTACATTTAAACTACGTCTACGAGACTACGAATGGGAATTTAAAATAAAAACATAGCAATCTGTTGACAAAAACATAGAATTTCCAATTTGCTGGTCGCCGACTGATGGGGAATGATTATATATGTTACCAGTCTAATTAAAATACCGAAATATCCACTAGTAGGAGGTTACAAAATAGATATAGCTAGGAAGTCAAACTCAAATTAAATAATTTTTATTTCAATTTTTAATTAAACATTGCTCACCTATGCGGATTACGTTTGAGTTGGCTTATCAAACTTTCTTAATAAGCTAATTTATATAGTATTACTACATGATTTGTATTCTTAGACTCTTAGTGCGAATCAACTCATTACCTACTTTTAGTATAATAAATATTTAATAGTGGTGACTCCATAAACCACTAAAACACATAACAAAAATGTTGAAGCTTGAAACATGCATCGACCTTACATGTTATAAGTCTTCTCTTGCAAGAATAAGAAAAAAAAAAAAAAAAAGTTTCCAAGTATGTAAGTAAATGTGCAGCACAATAATACATAGCCACACACGTAAGTGAAGATCATTTATATGATCATAAAAAAGTACGTACGGAAGTTGGTTTTCATTTATTATTAGAATTTGATATATACAAGGTAAAAACAAAAGGGTTTGAATTTTCTTTTCTTGTTTCAAACACTGCATTAGAGATTTGTCTTATACGAATGATATTCAAATATTAAACTAAGAATAATAATAACAAATCTATACCTAAGTTGGGTGCTGACTGTTGAGACTCAAAAATAAATTAAAAGATGTATAGTAGTGGGTGTTAAAGCTGAAAATTTTGATTAGCGATATTATAAAATACTAACACTAAAGCTTAATTAGGCACAGCTTGCAATATTTTGTTTTTTGTCTTTATTTGTACGGATAATCGTACCTGACGTGTAATAAACACTTTTCGATACCTCGAAGGCCAAATTCTCAAGTTCATCAAGGTTTATGCAAGGATTTAATACATTACACGTCGTTAACGTTTAAAGCTTAATTACCCTCACATAAAGCAAAAGATAATCGTTTGTTCTAAATTCATTTAGTCGGTTCCTAAATTTCCGGTGACTTGAATACTATACGTTTTCTTTAGAACAAATATAACTTGATTTTATATCTGACAAATCGTTCTAATTAAAACCACTTACTTCAACAAAATCAATAGTCAACTAAAGAAAAAAAAAAGAGACGAAATAAAATACAACTACATCTTTATTTGTCATCATAATTGGACGATCGTGTATACAAAAATAAAATTCCTCGTTTAAGTCGTTAAGCTTGTCGTTGTACGTAAAATGACATCGTACCGACTTGTGTACTGGGCTTGGTCAAGTCAGCTATGCCAACCTAAATTTTTTTTGAAGGTACGTCGAAGCCTCGAAGGAATGTTTTTATGTTAACACCACGTGGACCTTTTACACTCACGTGCATTACTTTTCCATTTAAATGGTGTAATATAATCGGGTTAATCAAGCCCAATAACTATCTATCCGCAAGCGTACTCGGCCCATATACCACAACAAGGCCTAAGGTTAGTAATTGCAACTTGCAAGGCCGCGCATGAATTTTAATTTTAATTCTATGACTTTAACCGGCACGTAGGGCTGCTTGAAAACACGAAAACAACAAGAAATCCAAAAATTTGATCAAATAGAAATACTAAAAGGGAACGCTTAATTAGAAACTTTATATTTTGATAATCAATCTGTTACAAATTACTCCTATGAAGAGAAACAATTTAATTCATTGCAATCCAAACAAAGAAAAAAAATCACCATAGCTTTATCGCATACTGTACACTTTAAAACGAAATCAATAACTCAAATCAGACTTTAAAGAACACAATTAATCACAGAAAAGTAAGAAGGTAAAAAAGTTATAACCCTTTATAGTCTTCTTGCCATCAAGTCCTTGAAGCAACTTTGCGATCAGAAGAAGAAACTTGAGCGTTGGTTTAACCATCTATCTCTTTCATTTACATTTGGAGCCAGTAAGGTAAACTTGAGACTGGATCACCGTGCACCCGATTTTAAACCCAGGAACCACTGTGAACCCTACTTTGGCTCGAGTAGGATTCACCGGGAACTTCTTGTCTTGTTTTCTTTTTAAGACATTCTCCATGAAAACAATCGAAAAATCCACTCCGCTTTCAACTTGGAAAATCTCAACAGCAGGATCAAAAGACAACGCTAACTTATGAAGTGTCCAAATCGAGCTCGCCATCGTGACAAACGACTCATAGAATGTGCTCAGAGATCTCCAAGAAGTCAGCACAGCTTCATTTTGATCCATATTGCTGAATATCGAAGATGCCATGTTCGGATGTATGAGCTCGTGATACTTCTTATCGCAAAATCTAGAGAATGCACAATCTTTATCTCTATCAAGAAGCTCCATCGGATTGCTAGAAACATGTTGCATCAATTCCCTCAATGAAGAATCTACAGAACTCACGTCAGATGCTACATTATCAATCTCATTTAAATCAAATCCTTCTCCATCAAAACCTCGAAACATCCCCAAGCAAACATAAGACAACAATGCATACCGGTTATGTCCCTTCTTAGCATAATCTACCTCAGGATGAACAGACTTAGCAGCTAAATCTAAATCCCACCCAGCTTTTTCCATCAACTCAATCAGGATCTTAGTGAATTTCTGAGTAGCTTTAAAGGCATCATACAACAAAGACTCATAAACCCTAAGCGATAACAGGACATCCAGGGATGAGTTTGAAGACAATCTCCTTGATAACTTGGAATTAGACTTGTGAATCTCACCTAATTTGTTTCTCAGACTCCAAACCTGCAAATCCTTTGCATCCATCTCAGCTTGTAACCGGTTAGAGACAGTTTCCAAAGCTCGAAGCTTGCTCTGGTTCTCCTGAACCCGAGATTCTAAGCATGACCCAATCGCTAAATCAGACTCAAAATCCAAACTATGGCGATAATTCCTATAAAAATGCTTCAAATCAGACAGTTTCTGGAGGTTAGAGACGAGAGCTCTATCAGCAGCCTTGACATTATCCTCCACAAACGGGGCGTGAGCAGCTTGCAGCTGAAGATACGAAGCCTCAAAAGAGGAAGCCGTAGCGAAAACAGAAGAGATCAAACTCAGCCCCATCTGGGCATCCAATTTCCTAACCTGAGAAAGCTTCCCTTGATTAGGTTTCACACTCACCACTCCCAAATTCTTCGGCTGAGCATCGTTCACCGGAGGTTTAACAGGAGATCCTTGAGAAGAAGAAGAAGAAGAGCTGAGAAGAGGCCTGTCGGGTTTAAGAACGACGACTTTCTGATCGGTGATAAAATCCTCGGAGGAATCGAGGAGAGAGAAACCCTCAGCATCGGTTCTCTCACCATTATCGTCTTCGGTGAAGAACTCGTAGGTCTTGGTTTTGACGGCCATGGCTAGTTTCTGAAACATTTGAGATAATTGCGGAGGAGCTGCTGCTGTGATTGCCGATGTTTCCACTTCCCGCATCTCTCAAAATTGCCCTAATCAATTAAAGAAACCAAATTTTTTCCCTTAAAAATCTTCGAATCGATTGAAGAAACGAAAAAGACTTGATTTTGATTTCAGTAACAGTCAAAACTTTTTTAAGCTTTGAAGGAGTTATTAATGGTGGTGCTTTGGATGCATTTGCAAGTAAGGAATGCACAAAGCCTTTCCCTTTCCAATTTCTCCCACTCTTCTCTCTTTTTTTTTTTTTTTTTTTCAAGTTCTTTATTACATTATTATTGTTTTCCTCTCTAATTCCGCTGACTTTTATTTTATTTTACTTTTTGATGCTAACAAATGGTTTAACGGTAACAAAGTGAAGCTAGAATGACTGACCGGGTATACAAATGGTGTTACAGCCAACATCAATCATTGGCGAACTCAATCATATCAGTTTTTATTAGATTCAGTTCTTGTAGTAGTACGTAACGTAATTTACCTTTTTTGGGGTTAATTTGTTAATGTAATTTGATACTGATTTGGTTAATCGGATTGGACATAGATTGGTTTATACAAGAATTAAATAAACAGCCGAGAAAGGGGAACTAACCTTACGTCTACGTTACCTGTGACTGTGAGCACTCGTCTCTATAAATGTGAACGGCACGAAAATTAAGTGTGGCATCCACTTTCCACATTCTTCGCTATTCATCATTGGTACAACGATAACCAAACAAAAATAACTTAAGATCTTAACCGTCCGGTTAGTGGTTTTTTGATCCCTTGTTGTAAAATATACTAATTGAGAGGGATCTTTTATTAGTATACTAAAATGTCGTAATAAAAACTTTGATTATTGAACACCACCATGAGTCATGACTAATCATAGCTTTGAAGACACCTTTTTGAAGACATGTCTTTTGAAACTCATCTCCCAGATTCTTTGCTTTATTTCTTCCCTTTTCTTCGCGTCTTTGTGATGCTTTTAGCCAACATTTTTTGAGTGGTAATTGTTTATAATTATTATATATTCACGGTTTTATCTTTTCCAATTTTCGTGTAATCATAACGCAAATTAAGGGTTTCATTCTACTACCACTATAATGAAAAGATATTTGTGTGTTTTTCCATATGTCATCTTATCTCAATTTCTCTTTTACGAGAGGTCAAATCCCAAATGGTTAGCCGTATGATTTTTAGCTTTTAAACGCGAATCTAAACTAGGAAAAGTTTTCTTCCTTGACGACTTGATTCGTTGTGCAGTAGACAGTAGTCCACGTCTTATGCAAAGAACCACGTGCCAGGAACCGGACATCACAACTATAAAGCTCGTTAAAGAGTTCAAACTCCCTAGGGACTTGGAGGTAGTCTACAAGGTTGTTCTCTTCAGCATAAATCTCCACCTCCTTCACACACCTAAAAGACTCCAAGAAATGCTTTATCATCTCTAACTCTCTCTTTGTTCTTTGAAGCCTCTCAATCTGCAACTTCCTCACCGGACAAGATATGAGCGAACGCCCTTTGTCCTCCCGAGAAATACAGTCACAAGCATCGCCACATTTATCCGTCACATAGTGTAAGAGACCCTGAAAGCAGAAAGGAAACAATAAGGGAAGGGGCTTCCAAGAATGGTCTCTTATATATTCTTTCTAATAATATCTATAACAAATGAGCTGTGTATATTTATACCTTAAGGACTAGTGTTTCTAAAAGTGGACAACTCCTTAAGAGTTCCGGCATTGCTTGCCATCCTCCATGCGCGGAACTCCTAATACATAAAACTTTGAGGTTGTTGAACACCGGTATGGATTCATAGCGTAGAGAAAGCACCTGAAACAAGAGGCAAAGCCAAACTCAACATTACACAACTAGATCGTGCAATATACTTGTTTCAAAATCTCTAACGCTAAGCAAAAAGATAGTAGAAATTAAAAACAAATAAACACTAACCTCGAGAGTATCGGACGATAAGTAAAGTTTCTGAACATGTCTTATGCCACTCATGAGCTTCGACACATTTCGGAAACGGAGAAAAACATGATCCTCATCGCCCCTTGACGTTATTTCTAGCATAAATTTTAATCCATTTACTGTAAGGTCGAGTAGAGCCTCAACTAAATTCGTAAAGTTAACTTTTGGATAGTCCTCGGCAACATAATCAGCATAATTAAAGTAAACCAGACGTGGAGTATCAAAAGAAATGCTCCTTGGATGGTACACGCTTCCAAAACCGTATGATTTGATAGTTAGCTTCCTGAGGGTATCACTTGACACGGTTTCATCACACACGGTCCATTTAGTAGCATCGATGCATAATTCTTCAAGCACAGGGAAAGCTTGAAGAAACATGTCCATCTTGCCACAATCAATAAATGTTACTTCAAAAACCAGAGTCTTAAGCATTGGAAAGAAAGTGTCTTCACGGCCAGTCCCCCACTCAAGTATTGAGTTGTCACTTCTTAACTTCAACTCGACTAGTGTATCACTGTGGAACATGTTTGGAGGCAGAGAATATCCACGTTCGAAATCGATGGAAAGATCAAGGTCCGAAACACCACGCTGCAGCACATTGCATATCCAACTATTCACACGACCTGAATCAACACGTCCAGATTGACACTTGAGGGAAAATTTCTTAATGGGAGAATCACCTTGCAATGCCATCACTCTATCCACAAAATCTATGAAGCTCGACGGAGTTTTTTTGCAATCATAAGACCAAAACACAGTGTCTTCAAAGTCAATGTTAGGAACAAGTGCAAACAGATTGGACCACCTCTTTGAGAGAACAGATGTTGAAGCAGCCTCCGTGGTCGTAAGAAAGGACAAGATATGACACACTAGCTCGTCTGGTAGATTGCTGAAAAAATCCATCTTCTTTCTGTGCGTTTTTAACAGAGAGAAAGCACAGTGATCAAATTATTAAACAACGAAAAAACACGCCTAAAGACTTAATTAGAGAATACAAATCAATGGAAGCAGATAGGTATGCGTAAGGGCATGGGCAACGGCGTATACAAGCCTCGTCCCTTCCTTTTTTTTGTTTAAAATTAAATCAATAATCCAATTATTGTGTGTATACGTACTCAAGAATGGGACGGTCCCGTTTGTTTTTGTCCCATTTTCGCGGGTCCCACTGACACGTGGCGGCCCGCGATTGGTCAGCTTTTTTTTTTTTGTTTTTTTTTTAAATCATAAAATTTTTTTAAAAAAAAAAACTTTATTTTGGAGGGGGGACGAAACACCGATGCGTTTGCTCTAAGTGCGTAACTCACGGAGGCCAAGTCGTCCACGACCAACACTTTCGACTCTCTAAGGGAAAGGAATATTAATAGAATATGAGCTCATGTATATATATATATATATACTGTATATGAATTCCTATTCTCATAGGGAAAAAAATCCAAGACCTAAAAGTTTTAAAACCGTAGTTAGCTCTATAAAGTATAAACCATACATGTATTACTGATTGTATTAGGATTCTGGATTGGTTTGGTTTTGGTTTTTAAAATAAAATAAGAAGTAGCTATTATATATGTGAACTGTTGTTCTTTGCATCTCCCTAATTCTTTTCAGGATTTAGTTGTTTATAATTATGTGTGAATTCCACAAAGACAATAATACACAGATATAAATAGTTAATCTATTTTATGACTAGTGGGGCATTCAATAAAAGAAGAAGACAAAAATGAGGGTAGTCGTATGTGACTGGGGTGGGGTGTGTGACTTGCTTTCATATTGACCGTTTGGTTACCAACGACTTGGGTTGTTAGATTGTGCTGTTGTGATCACTCTCTGATCAGGGAGTCAGGACCATCATCTCTCATGTGTTATATTATTAAAATTCAATTCGATTGAGGGAGATATATTATATTATATATATGTCTACAGAAAAGTGAGCATAAACCACACGTACAGAAATTGTCGTAATGAGCCGAGAAGAAAATAGCCCAACAGAAGTGTAACAGCCCAAGCCCATTAAGTATGAGGAAATGACCAAAGCACCCATGATCAGTAGTAGTAGTAACTAAGCCTCCTCCTAACGAGAAAGAAGGGAGAGAGAGAGGGGGGGGGACAGCTGGACCGAATCGGATCAGATCACACAAAGCAGTGGCGTCGCCTTCTTCTCTGCCTGCTCCTCCGTACCAACTCTGATCCACCTCTCTGTCCCTCTCTCTCTCTCTATATACATATTACATATTATACATGTACACACACACTCACATTCTTATATTTTCGAGTATTTTTTTTTTACTTATAATAATAATAATAACAACAATAATAACAGTAGGGGGCACTAGTGATGTGCCTAGGTAATTTTAGTTGTTAGTAAGAAAAACCCATAAACTTCGCTCGCACTGGTTTTCGAGAAGAGTCTACTACACACAGCTGTGACAATGGGTCTTTAGGTTCTTGGAATTTGCTCTCTCTCTATTTCTCTTCCCTCTCTTCAATGTAACAATCATATATACATACTATTTAGCTACTATAATAATTATGTTTCTTACAACTATACATAAATGGAGCTTAGTTTTTTTTTTTTTGTATGCTTAATTATTTATCAATTACTATAAAACCGAGCTTATGTTATAAGTAATTTGGGTTATTAATATTATTCATATTTTTTTTTACTGAAACAACATAGTAGTGGTAGTAGTAAAAAGATAAATATGTTGTTTAGAAGGTTATACTGAATTTTACGAAATTACCACTGAGATATTGAAAAAGTAGACTGTTGGGAAGAGTCTTGTCATCTAGCACTTTTTCCACAGTTAACCAGAACAGACCTTCTTAAGAGCACAGAACAAATTTAACACACAAAAATTTATATCATGAAGAGATGATAACAAACACCAAATTGTTGTATAAGAAATAGATAGTATAAAACAAGTTTTACTTGAAGATAACATAATCGAGACTAAAACTCTGTAAATTTTTGATATTTGACACTCACATACGAAAATATTGGTTTTTATTACTATTCTGAAGAAATATAATTTTATACTTATCAATTACAATCTAGAGTTCATACTTTAACATTATTGAAGTTATTGGAAACTAAAAACAAAAATTTAAACTCTGTAGAAAAGGGTTTATTTAAACACTATTTGTCGTCAAGTTGAAGTGCATATTAAACACTGTTTTCTTAGTTGCAAAGGTAGTAGTCGAACTAATGATTAATTACCCTATTATTGTTAGTACTACTACTTTACTACCCTCATAATTATCTATTTACGTAAGTAAACGTATCAAAGTGAATCACTTCTCTAATGGATATAATCAAAACATAGGAGGGGTAAATAATCAACAAAACACAATAATTAACGAAGAGAGTACACGTACACATCATCCTTAAGGAATAGGAGGAGGAGAAGAGAAGGGACTTGTTTAAATTAAGCTAGTGGTCACTCTCTCCAGGCGCCGCTCTCTCTTTCTTTCCCCCTCTCTCTCTCTCTGGGAATGGTCAGTCAATTTCACCACTGAGAGCTCAAAATCGCCTGACCTTGACCTTTACTCTCTCTATCTCTTCCCCAAGAAAAGCAAACACCTCCCAGAATTAGATAAAACAGAAGAAGAAAGCCATGGTGGGTCTTCTGAATTTTTCTTTTTTCTAGTCCAAGAAACATGGGTCTTGATTCATTTATTGGTTTCTTCCTTTTTCTCCTCTTTTTTTTTTGTAGATGATCTGTGGAGAATTTCCTGCATGGCTTGAGGTTTTGTTAAAAGAAAAGTTTTTCAACGCTTGTTTGGACCATGAAGATGTTAAGAAGAACGAGAAAAACATTTTATGTATCGATTGCTGTCTCAGCATCTGTCCTCACTGTCTCTCTTCACACACCTCTCATCGTCTTCTTCAGGTCTCTCTTTGAAAAGACAAACCTTTCTTTTATCTTGGTTTTGAAAATTTGCATCTTTACGCATAAAAAAACATGAACTTTGTGCTTTTGTGAACATTTTTGTAGATAAGAAGATACGTGTACAGAGACGTTTTGAGGGTAGAAGATGGTTCGAAGCTAATGGATTGCTCTTTAATTCAGGTATTAACTCGGTCTGATCTCAATCCTTGTAGTTACTTATCCTAATTTATTACTACCCTTAATGATCTTCTCTTAATCCTTTATTGTAAACATTTACAAGGTCCAATTTTTTTCTTCTTTCATGGGTTCTTGTGCCCTAGATTTGTGACAGCTTTAATTTAATACGCGTTAACTTCATCTTCTTCTTTTTTTGTTGATGATGATGATTAAAGCCATACATAACGAACAGTTCGAAAGTTGTGTTCATCAATGAACGACCTCAGTCTCGTCAGTTTCGTGGTTCCGGTAACATTTGCATCACCTGTGACCGGAGTCTTCAGTCTCCTTACATCTTCTGCTCTCTCTCCTGCAAGGTCTGTTTTTTTTTAATTTCTTTCCTGGTTGCTGTTCTTATTAAAAGAAACAAATTTTTCTCGTTAATTACGTTTTCATTTCAAATTCAATCAAATCCCCAAATTTGATTTACCACTTTTCTTCAGCTGGGTCGATTGTTGCACGATTACACGTAATTGTCTCAGATGAAAAAAGGAACGTTTTTATTTTATTTTGTCTCATTACTAATTTTCAAAATACAAAATTCAATTTCTTTCTGTTTTTGTTGTTTCCTTTGGTTGCTTTTTTTTTTTGTTAATTAACACGCCTAGCGTGTACGATCATATATTTACACGTAAATGTCTCTGAAAACACAAACACATGGTTTGTTTGTTTGCTTTTGTAGATTAGTGACGTCATAATGAGGCAGAGAGGACTCTCAGGGTTTCTCCGCGTCTGCAACGTTCTCGATTTAACCGACGAAGTCACGACAACGACGCCGAGCTCCACTCTCGAACCGACCGGGTCGACCCGAACATCTTCCGAGTCAGGCGGTAACGCAGCAGGAGGAGGAGGAGACATGTTCTGGTGTCAGGCGCTCGCCTGCACCGCCACTACCGAGATCGTTAGGAAGAAAAGAAGCAGCTTGTCGACGACTTGCGGGAGAGTCACGGAGGCGGTTTCCACGACTAACACGGAAGCTCCGGCGAACTTTTTTAACCGACGGAAGAACACGCCGCCGCAACGAGCTCCGCTCTATTAATATAACTCGTAACGTTTGTGAAGTTTGGTTGGTTGGAGTGTGGTAAGTAGAATGAATACACGTAACGTAACTATAGACTATAGTCCTTGTCTTATATTTTAATCGAGTATCTAAAATATCGAATCACAAATTAGGTTTTTTTTTATAATTAAGAAAAGTAAGGAATTAAAATAGTTGAAAAGATATCTCCTGGTTTTGTCTGACTCTGAGATCTGTACCGGGTAAAAATGGTAGAACTCTCTTCTATGTTATTTCAATTTCAATACTTTTTAGTAAAATGAAACATTTGTTCGTATAATCCGTTTTATTGTTTCCCATTTTATAATTCGTGTTCTCTTTTCAGTATTAAAAAAAAAAAAAAAAGAAGTCGCAATTTCAGTACTATTGATTGAGGCGGCCTTAATTTATTATTTACAGCGGCGAAGTAAATTCTCAAAAGGATTAAAAAAAGAAAAAGAAATTTGTTGACAATAAATGCATAAGACCGACCATATCTTTCTTGGCTGGGTTAAATGATACGTTTGAAAAGAAAAACAAAAAGGAAGTAAAAATGGTGATGGAGAACTCTACAAGTCTAAATGTGGTCTCTGCAAGTGAATTTATGATTGTTTGTAATGTATAAGGTGTTTAGGTCACACAACATAGTAAAATATGTTATGAATTATTTTGATATCAGTTGGTTTGTAATAAATGTGAATGCATGCGATAAGATTTGGTGTGTCTTTGAGTGATTTTGTCTTATGCATAAAATGTATTTTTTGTGTTCTCTTCTACTGGCACGAACGAAAGACGCGACTAAAATTGGTTAATTGGGGTTTATATGAAAAAAGAAGACAAAGAGATTGGGACAGACATTATGGATAGACGTGAAATCGTGATTGTTTCTGAGGCAAATAATATAATACAGTAATAGTCTCTCTCTCTCTTTTCTCTCCTGCTTCCCCTGGACCACTCCTTCAACTTCTTCCCACTTCTTTAGTTTCTCTTTGTTTTCTATTTCGTGACATATATGTTATGTATCTCAATAACAATAATGTAGGGGTCGTCGTTTTCGCTTGGTTGTTTGATTTGTTTTTCTTGGTCTGTTTGCAAAACTATGAGGTCCATATCAATAGCTTTACTATGTAAGTTTTAAACCAAAAGAAACAGAAAACAGATTAAGATTAGAATGGAAAAATATTGATATTAAATTAGCATTACATGTCTAAAGTCTTATTTGGTTTTTTTCCTTATAAATATTGACAGCCACACATTGCCATACTTGCGGACCCGTGGCACTTACGATCCTAGAGGTTTTGAATGATATATTAATATAAGTAAACAATGTGCAGCAGGTAAAATCAAAATTCATAAAATGAGAACGGAAACCGAGTTTTGCTACTTTGTAGGTTTGAATGGGACAGGCCAGTTGTGTGCACTGGAACTTGAACCAGATTGCTTAGAGAAATTGCTTTTCTATAATCTTTTCAAAGTAACGGAAATCGAGTTTTTCTACTTTTGTGCAAATATGAGAAACTGCTTTTAAACATTTTGTCCGTCGTATATATAAATTCAGACGGTAACATAGTTTGATTCTGGGCCTTCTCACTAGGCCTGTTAAGGCGAAACAGTCTTAAGAACCAGTAGACCCTTCTATCTATAGTAGCAGCAGGCTTCAGAGAAGAAGCAAGAAATTGATATAGAATGATTACCAACCTTAGTCTTGTGAAAATGAACAAACTTGAGCCAAGTTAGTTTCTTCTAATGAGGCTTCATTAGAATGATGACCCGGTTTTGACCAATGCGAGTCTCACTAATACGACCAAGGTGACGAAGTACCTGTTAAAAAGACATCAAAAGATGACAATGTTTTATGTGTTTCCAATTCTGAAATGAAGGAAACATATCTTAGGTACTTACAGTAAGTATTGCTTTTCCTGTGTTGTCTAGTTTCAAACTTGGTCCCTTCATGTCAGTTTCAAGAAAGAAATGTTTGCCCTTCACTGCTTGCGCTGTTACAATATCTCGTAGTTTCTGCATATAAGAGTTTAGAACATAATCTTTCTTAGACCTTCATTGCCACTCGATGATTATAAGAATGTTTTCGCTAGTGAACAGATACTTTCATCTATACATAGTGGAAGATGAGTTATATTAGCTTACCAGTGCTTTCTCCCAGAGGTTTT